AGCTCAATACTCCAAAGTCTTACAGGTACCACTATCATCTCTCTAGGCATGCAGGAAGAAGCAAGGGAGAAGGAACCTTCTAGTTCTGCCAGGAAATTAAGGCAGAGCTGGAGGATCCAACTGTTGGCTCCTTAAGGACAAGCTGGGATGGAAACTCAATCCAACCTTCTTTTTATGGAGCACTTAATGTGATAATATCTTAGAGAGATGGGAACTTTATACAGACAGAGGGAAATCTTAATTCTCAAACAGACCAGAGGCAATCATCAAAATTACAGCAATAGAATAGTTTTTTTGCAGTCAAGCATAATTATGCAAAGTCTATTGGAAAGACAGCTTAGGCTATAATTTGCATTTCAATTAATTTTCAAATTTTTGTGTGGACAGTTGATGGCCAGAAAGGGGAAGTACAGGAACTACCATACACTGAAATACACTCATCAGTACAATATAGGATTTCCAAGGATACAACACAATGTTCCAAGATTTTGGGGATTTTGGTTTGTTTCTGATTACCCTGTAGAAAATAGATAAAGATGTAGAGGAAAAGAAAAAAACCACCAGTGCTACCACCTGGTTCTGCTGGGTGGTACAAGAAGATGAGAGGCAATGGGAAGAAACTGGAATGAAGGAAGTTCTACCTGGATGAGAGGAAGAACTTTACTGAGAGGTGACCACACACTGGAAAAGGCTGCCCAGAGGGGGTGTGGAGTCTCCTCCCCTGGGGACAGTCAAAATCCACAATTTCAAGGACTGTGGGCACAATCCTGGGTTATCTGCTCTTGGGGATCCTGCTGGAGCAGTGAGGTTGGACTGGATGACCTTTGTGTTCCTTCCAAGTCCAGCCCTTCTGGGATTCTGGCATTCACAGGCAGCAGAAGCACTGCACAATGGGCAAAAGGAGAATATTTTCCTTCCTGAGGTTTACCAGGGCCCACAGCAAATCCTCAGGATATAATTCCTGCCAATCTGACAATCCCAAGTTATCACTTCCACATGTTAAAAACGAACATTTCTGTACTGAAATATCTGCAAAGTTCTGCCCAATTGCTTTACAACTTCATTGATTGTAATTGGCTCTTGCTCCTTCAGCCTAAGAATTTCACACAAAATTCCAATTATGCAATCCAGCATGAGACAGCCAGAGATACAGACCCTCTAACAAGCTTAGGCAAAAATCAAAGGGCTAAATCAAAAACTGGCTCACACCAAGTCTATTCTTTGTGCAGTCAACCAAGACTAATTAATGCTTTTAATGGTAGTTTACCCCTTTTGGCGCCATAAATCAGAGCAGGCAGCTTTTCTGAATTAACAAAAGAGTCTGTGAAAGGTGTAGCTCGTTAAGCACACTCCCAAATTCAAATGCACTTAATCAGAACCAGGTACATTGAGCAGGACTGTACTCCAGGAGCAGAGTAATCTGCAGGCTGTACACAGGGAACATTCATTCATCAACACAAACAAGGCTGGCACACCAGGAAGAGGGCCTGAATTATACATCTGAGAGAAAGGCCCCTGCTTTCCAGCACGGCTTTTGTGAGGGCAGGAATGTGGAGCACACTGTGGGAAGGCTGTGGAAAGGTGGAGGGGACAGGGAGGATGTTTCCCAGAAGCTCACCTCAGCCACAGAGTCCTTGCACAGAGCACGCTGCTGTTGCTGCTGAGCTCCTGGAGCAGCTCCACACAAGGCACAGAGCTGATCACAGGGATGGAGCAGCTCTGCTGCGAGGAAAGGCTCAGACAATTGGGATTGTTCAGCCTGGAAAAGAAAAGCTTTGGGGTGACCTCATGGGTGAGTGAGACTCTTTACAAGGGCCTGGAGTGACAGGACAAGGGGGAATGAAGCCTTCTCTCAAACTCACAGAGAGGTTTACACTGCATCTTAGGAAGAAATTCTTCCCTGTGAGGGTGGCAGGCCCCTGGCACAGATTGCCCAGAGCAGCTGTGGCTGCCCCTGCATCCCCAGCAGTGTCCAAGGCCAGGTTGGATGGGGCTTGGAGCAACCTGGGACAGTGGAAGGTGTCCCTGCCCGTGGCAGGGGTGGCACTGGATGAACTTTAAGGTCCCTCCCAAATCATTTGGGGATTCTATGATGTACCTAAATACCCTGTAATATATCACATAGGCAAAGTTCTTCCTTGTAGAAGGTGATGAATTTATAAAGATGAATGACCTAGCATTTCATCCTAGGCAACACTCTTGAAAATTCTTTTCTGAGTCAGATCCACTCCTCTAAAAAATCCCCTTTTAAAATATTTTTGCCACAGTTTCTTCCCAATATCCCATCCATCCCTGCCCTCTGGCAATGGGAAGCCATTCCCTGTGTCCTGTCCCTCCATGCCTTGTCCCCAGTCCCTCTCCAGCTCTCCTGGAGCCCCTTTAGGCTCTGGAAGGGGCTCTGAGCTCTCCCTGGAGCCTTCCCTTCTCTAGGTGAGCACCCCCAGCTCTCCCAGCCTGGCTCCAGAGCAGAGGGGCTCCATCCCTGGGAGCAGCTCTGAGGCCTCCTCTGGACTCTCTCCAGCAACTCCACATCATCCTGCTGATGTTGGGGGCCCCAGAGCTGGATGCAGCACATAACTTGGCTTGACAGAAATCATGTTCCATATCACATGCTCTCTGAAAGGAATTTTGTTCTCCAAAACAGGGCTGGCAGTGCAGGAAAACTTCAGATCTGTGAACAAAGGATTTTCTCCTGCACTAGAAACATTCACTAAATGATGATCCCAACAGCATCGAAGTGTCCAAGGGCTGCTGGCAAAATGCTCCACTTCAGCTCTGGATCCAGTGCATTCCCATCTCAGTGAAGACCCCACTAAACTGGCAGAAATGCTCAGGAGACTTAAAGTCCAGCAATTTTCCACATGAGTTCAGAAACATTGAGGAGCAGAAGTATAAAGTCCAGGCCCAGTTCCAAATTCCACTCACACACACTGGATAAAAACCAGCCTAATGTAAAAACACATTTAAAAATATTTACATCAAACCAAACCATTACAGAGATAAGAGAGGTATTTATAGAAACACATGGATTTTACACACACACCGTGTTTAACTATTTAATTGCTGGAATCTCAGTTAGGTTGTGGGGCAGTGAGGTATTTCCCAAGCAGGAAACAACCCAAGTAAGCTAAGACATGGGGCACTCACACATTCAACTTTAACTCAATTTGCTCCAAATTTTCATATCTGAATGAACACTGAGTATAACAGGGAGGGCTTCAACTCGAGATAAAGTCACCCAAAAGCAAATATCTGAAGTGGCTGCTGGAGATCCCCAGCAGGGCAATCCCAGCCTAGAGAGCAACCCTGATTTGCTTGGTCAGCCAAGTCTCCACAGGCTCCATCACTTCCACTCTTGAGCTTAAAATTTCTTAATCTGGAGCTGGATTGGGCCAGGACCCCTTGGAGCAGGATCTTTCTTATGCAAAGCCAACACTTCACATATTCCTACTTGACACACAGTCTTGTTCTCTGGATCTCCCACCAGCTCCAGTCTTTCTTCGTGTTCTTTCTCTCACCTCACCACCCATCAAACCCACCTTTGGCTTTGCCTCTCTCCTTCCACAGCCCTGGATTTCTGCTTCTCAGACCCCAAAAAGCTGCACACAGCCCAAATGTGGGAAACCATACAGAAATAAAGGGATAGGAGCAGCATCAAAGTCCCTTTTTAAAAAAATTTATCCTTTTTTCTAGCATGAAGAGGGGAAAAAGGGGAAGCAGGAGATGGATAGGTGATCACTGTTGTTGCCTCAAGGCTGGCACAAGCAAGGAAAAGCTTTTCTGAAATCCTTGGCATTTTCTGTCCCATACCACCAAAGCTAGGGTGATTTTGTCTGTACCCAAAGAGGAGGCATTGATTTAGGGCAGCTTTACCCAAAGCAGGGCTGGAGTGCTAAATTATTGTGAGGATAAGGGTCAGAGCGTGCCCAAAGGTTTGCAGCGGACCCAAGAGCAGCTGACATTTAAAGTTCATGTCATTAAGTGAACAGCAAAACATATAAAATATAAAAAACCATACAGAGTCATATTCCTGCACAAGAACAGCTGGATGGGGTCAGACAGACACTTCAGCCTCCCCTGTGTCTTCTGTGCCCAACAGGGAAGTGTGAATCCCTAAGGGAAAATTGAAGGGCAGGCACACAGGGACATTTTCCCAGCATATTTTCCAGAGGGATTTCCTGAGGGGGGGGTGTGTTCCTTTTTCACAGCTCCTGTAGATCACGTTCTCCTACTGTTATAACATATTATATTCTCTTAAATATATATATGTGTGTGTATATAAATATATATATTTATATGTACAAGCTCAAAGGGCCTGACCTGCTCAGGTCTCATCATGTTGGGCACTATAAACCAAAATAAGGAGTTAAGATAGAAACTGCTCCAACCAAATTACACTGCAAAGTTTGTATTTGAAAATATTGTTTCCAGCTTTCTTCTCCCAAGAAATAAAAGTATTAGAAAACAATTTGCCTGTCTCCAGGCAAATGACAGAAGTTTATATCAGGAATCGTGTCTGTGCCAACCTGGGGATTTTGACCCAGCTAATGAACACAAGTCTCCTTTTTAATATAAAACAAAAAAGTATTATTTACTAGGAAGATATTAAGACTAATAAACAATAAAAAAAGAACCCCTCTCACAATTCTTTATAGGAACAGCACATAAGCACTGTGTGTTTTACTCAAGCTGCTGAAGACCTGATGTTTATTAACTTTTCAAATCAACACAATAAAATACACTAGGCACAGAGTGTTGCTGGAGCTTCAGCTTATGCATTTCTTGACCCAGAAATCACTTCTCATTTTAAAATGTAAAGTGCTTCTGTAGCAAAGTTCATTTAATAGAAAAAAGCATCCAAACCGTATCAAACAGCAACAACTGCAATCCCCAAGGCATCCAAGGCTTTCCTGTCTGGAGGGAGCAGGGAAAGGTTTTGGGAGGAGTAGCTAAACCCAAGTGCTATGATTGAAGGGCACAAAGACAGGATAAAGTGTTACCTCTTGGATGCGAGCTTCCTTGGGATGGAGATAATCCGGAGAGGAGTGTGCCTGGGCAGGGAGTCTTCACAGCATTCCAGAGCTCTGCAGCAGCAAGGACAGAGAGAGAGAGAGAGAGAGAGAGAAACACCCGTGAGGCTCTGTGGAAAACCTGCCCGAAGAAAACACAGCTCTCCCCAGCTCAGAGTGGTCTTCACCTCCACTGGAGCAGAAGGAGAAATGGGACATGTAAGAAAAGCAGGCAAAAAAAGGAGGAGCGCTGGAAACACTGGATAAGGGGAGAGGGAAGGGACACCAGAGCTGGCAATAAGACCAAGGCCTTCCCAGCTTTCCTGAGGGAGAAAACAAAGTCCAAGCTTTCATTTAAATACTTGTTTACCAGCTATTTGTCAGGATTTGGGACTAAACAGATTTTAGCCTGAGTTTTACATGTTACTCCTACATCCTTCCTTCCCAGCTGACACAAAAGCTCAGAGAACTGAAAATGAAATCCCTCAAAATGAAGTGCAGCACCCAAAAAAAGCTCTCAAGGCACTCCACATGCTTTATGCATTATAGGGAGGAACAGAAACCCTACTGTTCCCAAAGCAGGACCAGCTCCTCGGAACAGTTGTTTATTTTAATCAACCCAGTACCAAAAGGTTTACATTAAATATTTTTTCATGGTTTCTAACCACTGATCCTGTATTAGTTTACATTCACTCAAAAAACACTCTGGGGGAGAAAGCAGGAGGCAGAAAACATTGAATCCAGTAAAACAACTGAGGATTTTTTAGGGAGTGCTGGTACATCCCACCTTTCCCTGTAGAACTACACCAGCAGACCCTTCAAGCCAGCTAATGAAACAGCATGAATTTGTAAATGAACAGAAAACAGTAAAATCTTCATTTTTATTGAACCTTTCTTTTTCCTGTCTCCTGCAGGAAGCCACCACCACCTGCCATGAGAGATGGCATCCTTGGAGAGAAGTCAAAACCCACCCTGCTGATGCTCCAATATCCCAGTAATCCCAACACTGGTGCTAGCAGGAGCATGAGCACACTCAGGGAAACGGGTCAGAAACATTTCTACCTGTTGTTTCCACGGGTGTTTGACTTCTGTATTTCTACATTATAAGAAGCATAGTCATTGTTTGGAATTTAATTCTGGTTTCAGGCTTTTTGACTTGTTTTTATGGCCCTTCAATGCAAAGATAGAACCCTAAAATATCTTCAGGAGAGAGAGGGAAGCATAAGTGAACTTCAGCAGAGACAAGGACTTGACAAATCTCATCCCATCAAGCTCTGCAGTGGCAAATTAGTCTCTCTCTGAGCACATTCTGTACTCCAAGTAGCCTCAGTGCTTCAGGAGATACCAAATATAACACAGCCCCATTTTAACTTCCTTCCAGGAATACACACGCTCATTTATTAAGAAGACGTGGGCTGCAGCTCCACTTCCAACAGCTTCAGTAACATTTTGTAAAATTAAACAAATTATTCCTTTTGTGGTAAGAAAGAAGCTGAAAATAAGTGCTCAAGCAAATGGGGGAGAAAACCACCTCCCTCACATCATCCACCCGCCCTGCATTTCGGGAAAGCAAGCCTTGCCTGCTGCACCAGGCTCAGCATGAACCACGGGATCACCAACAACTCCTTCTGCTGCTCTCCCACCTCAATCCCCACACCTTTATCAGTATTATTTCATTTCAGAGCTGCTTTGACAGCCCAGTTTGCTCCAAGTCCACATTTTGGAATACTTTCACATCCTTATGTTTGGATAAACCAAGGAAGTCCGTAGCTCTTGCTTACAAGCACTAAAAGTGTGTGTCCAATGGTGCTGAATCTCTGGAGATTTTCCAGGGTTTGGCAGGAGGACAGCACTGCCACAACCCTTAATGTTGGTTTCTCCAAAAAAATCCAAGGGATTCTCCAAACATTCCCCCTTTTGTTCAGCTCTGGCTGCTACAGAGAGGGAGAAGAACAGTCCCCACCTCTCATTAACCTTGGTGATGGATCTTTCTTTAGCTGCAACAGCATCAATATTTGCTTGCATTGTGCTGCCACTCAGCAGATTAACCCTTTTTGGATTTTTTTTTTTTTGGCTCCTTTTCTGTTTTTTTCCTGACCAGAAGTTAAAATTATTCAGTTGAGAGTGAGTGGATGCTGGTGCTGCAGAGAGAAGCTGTGATAAGCTGCAGAGGAGGAGGCTGTCCAGCTGCCAGCACACATCACTACCCTCTGCCACCACTCAAAATCCAGCAGGGAACAGTCAAGACTGACCAAATTTGGGTGTGTTTGCAGAAAAACAATCAGTCCCAATCAGTGTCTTTGAGTGGAAGTGCAAAGACATTCATTAAAGAACGAGAAAAACCAAATGAATTTGTGACAAGGTATTGATTTGGAAAATCTAGGGAACTAGCACAACGTTGAGAAGTCCTGGTGGCACAACCTTGTTCATCAAGAGTGTGAGCTGGGATTAAATCAGGGAAAACTTCAAGAATACAGAAAATCCAGTCCTGCCTGCCTGTGGGGCAACCTGTGCCAGGTCCCCACCACTCTCAAAGCCAACAATTCCTCCCCAGTATCCCATCTAACCCTGCTCTCTGGTAGTGGGAAACCATTCCCTGTGTCCTGTCACTACAACCTCCTGTATAAAGCCCCTCTCCATCTTTCTTATCAAGTTAAGCAAAGACACTAAAGCAGGTTCCTGCAGCCCAGAATTCCTCCTTCCCTTCCCACTTCCTCCTTGGCAGGAATGGGGATTGGAGATATTTCCCCCTGCAGGTAAAGAAATTAAATCCATTAATATTTCCTAAGATTACTGCAGCTACTAAGTAGGGAAGCTCATTCCCTAATATCTTCATCAACTCCATGTACTATTTCAAGCAGCAAAACAAGATTTTTAATTCTATCCTTCCTCCAATTCCCCAAATTTAGTTTTCTTTTGTTTTACAATGATGATCTTACTACAATTATTCTTCTATATTTCTCTTTTAATCCATTATTTTGATTCTTCTTTCCACAAAAGTGGACTCCAGTGCTAGAAGCAGATTATAAAATAGATGGAGTTAATTAGGACGTGGTGATTAAAACACTTGCTTTGGTAGATTGCAGGGGGTTCTGATAAAATAGTGGTAGCATTAAAATACACTCCACAACTGTTTATCAAAAGAAGACAAAAATATTCAGCAAATGTCTTGAAATTCTGCAGGGTTAAATCCTATTCCACAACATTTTGGGTTTAGCCCTCTGAGTAATCAAACCCCACAAAATGGAAAGGGAAAAGTTCCCAAAAGTCAAAGTGCACCTTTTTTACTGCTCATTTTCAACAACTTTCCCAAACTTCTTCTAGAATTGACTCTGGAATAATTATTTTCCCTTGTGCAAGTTATATATTATAAGACATCTTGGGGTTTTGAAGTCACAAATGACTCTGTAATGAAAAGAAAATAATTTCATTATCTAAGATTATTGTTAATTGAAGGAAATATTAACTGTACTACTGACAACAGTCAACCTCCAGAAAGTGCAGCATTAAAAATTATATGCAGCCATTGTCTTAGAAATAAAAATAAATCTTTCAGTGAGAGCAGCCTCAGTGTGACCTTTTCCTCTATTAAAAAAAAATTCAAAGCAAAACACTCCAACACAACCCTTCCCTACATTACAAAAGAGGGATTAATGAGAATCTGTTTGGACATTGGGAAAAACCCTGGCAGGTTTATTGTGAAGGTTAATTCAGACACCTTTACTCATACAGGGAATGGAATTAAAGGAACAGAATTTAAAGGCAATAGTGAAGGCTGTGGTGCTAAGCTATGGGCAAGGAGACACCACAGAGACAATACCAGAGACATTTGTCATGGAGCCTAATGCACTTAGGACCTAAATTCTGGAAGAATAGGGAAAAATGTTAATGAATACATACAGATTATCCAGAACAGATCTGAATTCCATTCTGCTCAGGGCACAGTAAAAAAAAAAATTAAAAATTGAAGATCCACCTGGAGCAACTGGAAGCAAAAACATCTGTGCAAATACCTAGCAGGAAATAAAGGCATGGAAAGAAATAATTTTGGAAGGCAGAGAACATTGCAGGAAACCACAGGGTCATTCCTGGCTGGAAGCACCTTCCTGTCTTTCCTCTCCTTAAAAACTGGCAATTGCCTTTGTGCCATCAGGACTGGCCCAGAGCTGTACCGAGACCTGGATTAGGGAAGGGAGCCAGGTTAAAAATATCCTGGGTTTGCTGTTCCCTGATCTGGTTCACCAGATGGACCTGGGAGAGCTGGACCAGCACAGCCCAAGGGAGCCCAGCACTGGGAACAGGCACACAGGAGGAGGGAAGCTCTCAGGGACAGCTTCATCCCAGAGTTAGGAAGTACAGGACACAGGCAGGAGAAGTGGCATGGAGCAAGAGGCACAGCACAAGCAGGAATTCACCCTTGGATTCCCCTAACACTGATGAGGCCCAGGAGGGAAAGACTCCCAGGGCTGCTTCCAGCTCCTGAGCTTTCTCCTGCCAAAGACCCATCTCCTGCACTCGTCTGGGCCAACTGCTGGGAGAACTGGAATTGGTGGGAATCACCAGCAATGGCTTTGGCCAGGCTGGAGGGGAAGGAGTTTTTAAAGAAGATGGTGAAAAGGGCCACGTGCTTCAGCATCACCCTGCACACATCCACCACGGGAAAACATCCCTCCAGGAAAAATCCATGGAACAACACACAATGACTCAACATCTCCAGGTGTGCAGTGAGCTTCTAAAATTAGATGGTTCTTGAAACTCCAGAGTATTCAATATTGCAAGATCCTCCTTCATGTTTTTTACATGCAGGATGGAAGTGAGAACTCAAGAAGCAAGAAAAGCGAGGAAATTATTAAACTGGTGAAGTTGGGCATCATTTTCTCCAGGAACATCCTGTTGGCTTGGCCCCCAAGAAAGACAAGTGACACACATCAGGATTCTGAACAACACCCCTGACCACACCTCCCTTTGACATCACTTCTACTTTATCCTTAGAATAACTTTCCCACTTGAAGGATGCCAGCAGAAGGCCAGAAGGGCAGAGTGAGCTTAGGGAAAGCAGCAAATCCCATCTGCAT